TCATTTTTTTGTTGCGATGATATCAAGAACAGAAAGTCAGAAAATACGCAGATAGACGTTGTCGTACTGTCTTATTCACACATCGAAGAAGGTAATAGATTTGTAGAGAATCTTTTCCTGTGCGAAGCTCTTATATTTGAAATCAAAACTGATTATATCTCTTCCGCACCATATCTTCCTTACGCTAAAGATAACAGGAGTAAGAAAAGTTTATTGTACTCCCAGCAACAGAGCGGATATATATCTCACCAAACAAGAATGTATCAAATGAAACTTAACATAGTGTCTTGTTCTAAATTTCATTTTCTACCTACGAAGACGTGACGGGTAAAAACTTACTATATATTTAGTGAGATTTACACTTCGACTGTTGCTAGGAATACACTCAGCTTTTCTACTACTGCTACTCATAGTATAATAAAGGCACATAACTTAAGTGATATAACTCATTTTGGTTTTAAATATAAGAGTTTCTGATGGAAAAAGATTCCCTACAAGCGTATGGGTGTAAATGCGTGGTGTAGATGTGGATATGATATTCTATTCATTAACATCCACACTCAGCTATGAATACAGCTGATGATAAATAATGAATCAGAAAGAGAATCTAGCGATGAATCGAAAATATTCTTTAAAATCATGTTTATATCCGTTAATAGAGTTCTCTTAGTAATAAATTTTGCAATGGCTACTTTCCCCTTTCTTTCTAAATTCAATCATCTGATTGATTGAAATGCAACTTTTCCAATATAGATCTATAAAACAAGACGCTCTGATTCTAGTATCGCATGACTATCTTTTGGAAAAATGCGTTTCCTATTCAATCATTCAAACAATTATACATTTTTTTTGGAAAAATCCATTTATCCGTTAATCGACATTAGCAGCTTCGCATTGCATTTCGTGGCCGAATGAAACTTGAATACCATCTAGTTAAAAATCACTTCTTAACTACTTAGAACAAGTGATTTGTTGATTTTTTTTCCTTCTGGAACTGACTTTTCTCGTTAGAGTTTCTTATGTTACATACTTCAATCTCGGCATAATCAATTTGTTGAATGTTACCGTCAGAAATAGAATAAAAATATTTGCACAATTAAAAATTAAAGATATCAACTCATTGATGATACTTTTCACTGTCCATATTGTTATCTTTTACAACATATCATGATAAAATGATCCAATCGATCTAGTGAATAAAAACATGAAATGAAAAAGACAAACATATATAGCTTCTATACAAATTGAACCACCAAACCAATGATCTTTTTCGTTTCAGAAACAATTTGCTCACAGCATATTGAGCAAGAAAATCTAAATTTCAATCATATAAAAAAATCATGGAAAGACTCATTCAATGGAACTGTATCAAAGAAATGTAGCTTGTTAATGATATTTTTTCTCTTTATTGATAATTCATATTATCTATTTATATGTTGAATATATGCATAAAGAAGAACCCATCAAAACACAAGTATGTGAAACATTAACTGATCAATAGTATATAGTTATAGGATGTTCGTTTCCATCTTAACTTATTTTGTAGTTAAATTTGTACACATTAAAGTTTAAGGTGAATTTAAATATTGTATTCGTCATATTGAAATTCACTAAGTTTTGAGTTAGTTCAAATTGTTAGCAGGATAACTGTTAATCAACACTGACTACAGTTAATAAATTCAACAAATGAATATAAAATGGGATAATAAAGTAAACGATATATGAGAATGAGTCTGCCAATGATTAAATCGCTTCTCTTAATTTTTCAGCGTTTGATGCACATTCTGTTTCAAAACTTTCTAGCAATAGAGTTTAACATATGGTATGATTAAGGCGAGATCGCATAAAAAGGAGTCCTATTTGTCGTTAGGGCACGAGCGGTACACATCTCTGGAGAGCACTGACACTTGTAAGTATTAAGGAAATGCATTGGATGTTTTTGTGCATGTTTGATTGATAAGATAAATTAATTGGCCAATATAGATCTCATGTAATCGTCAAGTTCTTTGTTGATAATATGGTAAGTGCACTGAAATGATGTAAACTTTAATATGTAATAGAACTAGTAAAATTGAGATTGTCGTTTCTAGCAGAAAAAAGATGAGCAAAAATGAATTTCAATAGGATCGAAATCATTTATTTTTCATCTCCTTTAATATTCTTTTTTGTTTTTCAAAATGTAAGAAGCATGGATATCATGTCTAGTAATTTGTTGATGAAGCACAATTATAAGCGATGGGATCAGGACTTTGCTTTCACTTTTTCTTTGTTTTTGTTCGGTTTCTCACATAGCGAAATATAATTTTCAATTATTACGAATTTTAATTATCAGAAGCACAAACTTATCAAGAATAGCAATTTGATGAGTTAGAAAGACAAGTTATTGATTAATTGCAAATATTTGAGTTTATGTGTTGCAGTTTTCAAATTATTTTTTTGTAGATTGATTTTTTTTCGAGTAGTAATCGTTGTCGTTAATAATATAACGCAAGAGAACGATTGTTCAAGCTCAACGGTAACATTTTAGACCTGATCAAGTTGAGTCAAGTCGTATCTAATGAGGAATTTTCACTTGTTTTAAGTATTTTGTATCGTGAGACAGAGTTTCTGAGGCATCGAAAAAACCTGTCTCACATCCAAAAGTGCTGGTAACTTTATTTCAATCTAATTTTTAACTTAACTTTAAGAAAAAAGTCAAATAAATGATTTGAATTGGAAAAACGCTGACTTGTCCATCTCGGTGGCATTTTGTATCTATAAATGATTAATAATATATTTTGAAATATATTAATATCATCGAATGAATAGTCATTATTATACTTAAAGCCTTCTCATTCCTACTCCAAAAAGAATCCATTTTGTTCTAGATTTATTTAAATCACATGAAGTTTTTGGAATCCATTACAGTTGTAGTAAAGAGATGACAGTGAAATTTTCAACACAATATCACGGTATTTTTGGGAGATATTCATCAACGCTTAAGTCTCTGTGAGGCTTTCGTAGAAGAAATTAATTCTTCTTTTTTATGCTGAAGAACAGACGAAAAAGTTCAACATTCTCAAAAGAGAAAATGTTCTAAAAGTATTTTCTTATGCAATCAAATAATACTTAATTAAAAAATCTGGCTCTGCCAAGTTCTATAAGCAAACATGTTTTTTCAAACGAAAAAAAGTCTCATTGGCTTCAATGAAGCTTCTCATATAGTTCAAATCAGACCGAAACCATCGGTAGACTGCCAGTTTTTTGTGTGAAGTTTGTTAAAAGTGACAGAATTCAGTTGATTTCGATGCACTCAAATTATGTTGATGCGTCTGAGCCGTCCGTATTAGCCACAGACTCCAAATCGGCCACATTTATAAGGTTTTTATTGTAGATGGCGCTGCAAAAGCTTTTATTAGTAAAATAGATTCTGAAACTGGTTTTTTTTTCTCAATTAATTTGAATTTGGATAGAAAACACTCTCTGCAAATAGTTATTGCTGGAACAGAAAATCGTAAGTGCTATTGTCGGTTTTTTATGAGTACCGTGCTATATCGGTAGTACTGCGAACAAAATGTGCGACATGAGTTGTTTCTGAATCCATGCCAATGCAATCAGAAAACCTTCAACCAAAGAAAAACAAAATAACATATTCTACACATCATATTTAACTTCCTTGGAGAAAAGTACTCACTTATTTTAATTGTCGCGAGAAGGAAAGAATTGAAAAACTTGAGAAAAAAAAAACTTCCCTGTCAACAATTATATTGATTGTGAAGTTCCATATGTAAGGTTTCACCACAAAATACTTGCCTTGCAATGTAGTTTTTTATCTAACAGATCGACTGTAATAGATAAAGAAGGCGGGGAAGCATCTAAAAAATGCCATCAAAATTGATCCATTTGTTAACAAACTATATCGATTATGAAAATTCAAACTATAGACGACAAGACCATTGATGTAATAATTAAGATCTTTTTTTACGCTAGCAAACTGTTATGAGTAGAAGAGAGGAGAACGGTGTTAAAAATCAATTTAATTTCAAAAATACGGCATATTTTACCACATGAACTCTAATTTCGAATATTTACAAGAAAATCTATCTAATTACCGCATGATAGACAAACTCAACATCAATCGGAAAAGCACAAAAGATGATGCTTTTGACACCCGTGCACAGCACAGAACTCCGCAAAACAATCTCACGCTCTTTGCCATTCCATGATTTAGGACTTCCTGCAACAACAGTGAGGAAATGAATTAGTCATAGCGAAACGCATTTACAAAGCAAAACACAGAAGAGGCGTATGATCTGACCATACGTGAGCAATACCATGGGGTAGCGCAACATTGTCTTGCGAATCTCTGTTGCAGTACTCTATTCTCAATAGAATTTCATTTCATATTCAATTTGATAATTTTTAAATATTCAGTTTACAAGACAATATGTCTTATTATATGTTCTTTCGCAATGATATGATATGAATATTGATTATTAGTCATATCAAGCTGGCTAGTCTTGTTTTTCCGCTCTTCAAAACTTTATTTTTTTCTAAAACATGTTTACCTTCAAACTATAGATTTGTATGTGTCATATACCTTTCCTTGAGCGAACAAAATAATGATCAATGAGTTTGCTTTCATTTAATAAAAACGAAAAAGAAAATATGACACACTATTTCGTATGAAATATTTATCATGAAATTGAATATCATATTCTTTAACTATTTTCTATTTGTGTCTATTACGAAGAACAAAATTTTATTCTTTTTTGTACTATAGGTGATATCAATTATATTGATATATATATAGAAAATAAAGACTGACCTTGTCTTTTTCTTTTATGATAATTTTATTTGCTTCTTGTTATTTATTTGGTAATATGTGGTTCGATAGTCATAGCTTGTCATTTTATACAAGAGAAAAACAAAAAAAGACTTGAAACATATATACATCATTGCTTCATTAAACAATATAACACAATTTTGTAAGCAATTCTTATTTTCAATCGATATATACAATGGATCGTATTCGTTGGAGTGAAAAATCAATTCCATTTCGAAGTCTTGTAAACAATCCAGCTATATCAAAGCCGGCACTTGGTAAATATTTTCTTTTTATTATTTTTGAAAACAAAAAAAAGAAAGTCTTATTTTTGTATTTATTAAGTTCAAATTGGTAATAAAGCTATTATAGTTGGAGAAAAAATCAATGGAGAATTTATTATGGCATCACCTTGTAAAGTATCTGATAATCGATTTGATGTTATGGAACAAGAAATTATTTTATCAAGCAAACATACAGGTTTCTTTTTCTACATATATAAAAAGAAATGATCGAATGACTTGAATTTAGGTATATGGAGAGTAATATCAATAGCAACATCAAAAAAAGAAGGTCATCTTCATCGTTTAACTACGAGTGACCTTGAAAGAATTCATAAACAAGATATTTTTAATGAACGTCTCTTTCCTCGTTCATATATTTGCATACGAGATGTTGAAGCATTTGAATTGATTGTTCATAGTAACGGTAATAAATATGACTCTTTTTTGTTTCTTTCTATAATACAATTTCTTTCTTTTTGTTTGTTTGTTTTTTCTAGATGCATCAATTCTTAATGGCAATCGAGTAGATCGTCGTATGAAACAAATTGAAGAGAATGTTGAATTTGAAATATTGGATACTGGTGAAGTTGAATATACACCAACCGAAGGTGAACGTACATCACAAGATTATGCAATGGTACCAAAAGCTAAACAAGCAATATTTTTACAACTTCTTTTACCCGGTATTTTAGCACAAGAACAAGTCATACGTAATCGTGTTGTACGTGTACTTCATTGTGCAACAAAAAATGAAACACGTCAACGTCATTTTCTTCTTGAAGTTAATGAACAACCATGTGAAATACGTCCAATTGCATCAGATGGATCAACGGAATTACGTTATCTTCATTCAACACAAAATCTATATGATTATATGTCAAGTTATGGAAATGATACAATTCTATATGTTAAACTACTTCGAGGTAAAAATATATCGTTTTGTTTAAAAAATCAAATTACAAAAAAAGAAAACAAAAAAAAAGATATTCTTTTTAGGTGATCCACCAATGAAAGCAATTAAATTTGATGGTTATATGGTTTTAAAAAGTACATTAAATGGTGATCAAATTCCCATATGTCGTGTTGAAGATCTTGAAGTAACACTTGTTAGTACAGATCTTCCTATTAAAGTTCGATTACCAACAAAAAGTGAACATATATGGCGTTCATTATCTGAAGTTCGTGCAGCTGAAATTCAATGTATGCAATTATCACTTGCTTTACTTGCTCGACATGAATCAGAAATGTATGTTACAACAGAAACACCAAAACATACACTAAATTATTTAGAATCAAATTATAATCAGGAAATGAATTCTCATAAATCATCTGATATAATTAAAAAACATATTGAAGAATGTGAAAAAGTTTTTGGAAATAATAATAATAATAATATTACAAAACCAAAAATGAAACCTAAAGATAATTTACGTACACATCAAACAACAGAAAAACAATTAAACAATCTTCAAAGACATAGTTCTACTCATCAACATCATCATCAACCTTCGTCAATATTTCAAGATGTATCAAATAAAACAATGGCACATTCATCACATCATCATCATCATCAACGTTCGTCAATATCTCAAGACGTGTCAAATAAAACAATGGTACATTCATCACGTCATCATCAACCTTCATCAGTATCTCAAGATGTATCAAATAAAACCATGCCACACTCATCACATCATCAACCTTCATCAATATCTCAAAGTACATCAAATAAAATCATGCGAAATTCATCACATACTTCTTCCAGTAAACCTAGTCGAATGATTGATAAACGATCAACATCGACTGAATATATAGAACAAGATAATTCATATAATCGTTTTCATCGAACACCTATTAAAAAGAATCGAATACCTTCTTCTTCTTCTTCTTCTGCTTCGCACAATCAAAAAACGAAAATAAATATGAATTAAAAGGCAGAACAATAAATAAAACGAAAACAAACTTAAAAAAAAACTTTCTGTTTATTTATTTTCTTTTTATATCTTCTATGAAAATAAATTATGTTGATCGACAATTGTTTTTCACATTGACATGTGCTAGTAAAAACATCCACAGGTTTATAGAGATGTTTGATGTGAAGAAAAAAAGGAAGAAAAATATTTCTGCAAACAATTTGGTACATTGAAGACGTATATAAAACAGAAAAAAAATATAAAATTGAAAGTATCAGAAAAATAATTGTTATTATTTGTATTGTTCAGTGGTAAAATAATACGGATATAATATTCAGTTTCTTGTCAAATAAAGACTTTTTATTACGATAAGCAAATGAAAATTATTATCGAACGAACGGAAAATATAAATCTCATTTTTATTTTAATAAAAAAAACATTCAGCCAGTTATTTTATTTTTATTTGCTTCTATTTTTCTTTCTTTCCTTTCTTTTTCTTTTCTTCCTCGCAACAACGTAGATAAGTATTGAAACTGTTGTAACATGCATATAAATTGTCGTCATTTTTATTCAAAGTCACTTAAACTCACATCATGCCTCACAATGTTACACGAGATCCATGTCGGTAAGTAAAAACAAAAAATTTTCTTTAACAATTAATTACTACAAGAAATAAATCATTTTAGAATTGTGGATTCAGAGAGTGACGATGAAAAAGATAATCGATTACGTACACATGTACAAATTGCGACAAGACCAGCAACACCAAAAGTAATTAAAATAAATTAGAATATATGAGTCAATTTTTATATTTTATTTGATATTTTAAGGTCGTACCAAAACGATCTCCACCAAAAATTGTCGATTGGGGTGCATCCTCAAACGAATCAACCACTGATAGTATGATAGCAAAATTTTTTCTGTTATAAATGAATGATATCATTATTGTATATAGAAACACAATATTCTCATAACACACTTAATCCATCAAATGACAATGCGAGTTTATCGTCAACAACTCAAAGATCATCATCAGCGGATTCGTCTTTAGAATCCAATAAACAATTCAATCGATTGGAATCTACTACAACTACTCCTCAATCTCCTTCTGTTCGTATCAATATGTTGACTGGATTTTTATTGTTATATTGATTCATTTTTAGGCATCTTCGACTGATTTTGATCCAATTGCATTGATTCAAGAAGATCTAAATAATTTTATCTATATGCCTGTTCCAAAAGAATATTCATCATTTGTACAATGTCGTCTTCGACGTGATACAACTGGTGTACAAAAAGGTTTTTTTCCAACATTTTATTTGCAAGCTGAACGTCCAGGTGATAATAAAAAAGTATTGATAAGAAAATAATAATTTTTTTTTAGTAGAATTTTACTTTGTCTTTTGTTTTTTTTTTTATAGTTTTTTTTATTAGCTGCACGTAAAGTAGCAAAAGTAAATCGTCAAACAGAATATATAATTACAACTAATGTTGAAACTTTATCAAAAAATGCAGGTGGTGATGGTTGTGTTGGTAAATTACGAGGAAATAATTTAACTGGAACTGAATATACACTTTATGATCATGGTTTAAGTCCAAATAAATCTTCTAGTAAACACTCAAATAATAAAGAAAGTTTAAGACGTGAATTAGCAGCTATTGTTTATGTAAGTATATATATACGAAATATTTTTTTCTAGGTCATTAAAATTTAAATTAAAAGCCATATGTGTTAACAGGAAGTAACTGATGTAGCCTAGTTTCAATATCAATATTTAAACAAAACAAATTATTATTTGTAGAAGCATTTTATAGAAAAATATTCAATAATATCGTAGATAAAGAAAATTTGATCGATTTTGATGGAAAATGTTCGAGAGTCAAGGAGAAAAGGGTAGAGACTTGACTATCGTAGCTGACGAGGGAACGTCTTCAAATGTTCCTTGTCAGTTTCAATAATTTTTTATCTATAGATATTAAATCATTTTCTAATAAAAATCCTTAAAGACTTTGGGTTTGACGAAGCTATCGAATTTTTTTTCTAGATGCCCTAGATTTTCGAAAAACTTGTATTCTCGAATTTTGAGTTGAAATTACCGATATAAAGAACTCAACTAGACTAACTTTTATAAGTAATTTACAAATTTTGAACAAAGTCTCTTCGAGATATGAGACTTTCAAAATGTATACATTTGTCCATGGATAATGTATACAAGGTACGTTTTTTGAAAGTTTCATATCTCGAACAGACTTTGTTCAAAACTTGTAAGCTATTCTAGTTGAGTTTTCTGTTTGGGCAAAGTTTCAGATCACAACTCGAAAATACGAGTTTTCCGAAGATGTGAGGTCTGTAGAAAAAAAATTCGATAGCTAAGAGAAATCTAAGTTCTTTTAGGGCTTTGATCAGAACAGTATGTAGTATCTATAGGCAAAAAACTCATTGAAACCAGAAGGGGATACCCGAAGAAGTTTCCTCGTGAGTGGCTACGTTGTTCGACACGCATCTAATAGGTATTGTGTTCAAACTTTGGTATCACCAGTCATAAAATGACTCTAGATAAATCACTAACGACTGTTTGCATTGGACTACGCCTCCGATAGCATGCTGATTAAGTTGTGATATACACTTATCCTAGTGACAAGTCAATGTACACGGAGAGCTTAAGCGATTGAGTGCAAGAACTCTGAGTCAGATCGACCTTCATGTCAGACCTATAGCTAATATTAATTGTAGGGAAGATATAGAACAAATGAGTCTACCACTAGGCAGCACCTCATACCGCAAGGTAGTCAATAGGCTGGGATATTCTTTCTTCGTTCTAACACAGACTTGAGTGTTGAATTCTTGTGCTATATTCTAGAGTTTAATCAAGTCTTGAAGACTATTGTTCTATCGGTGAGACGATAATACTAATAATAATAGATCGTTAATAAAATCAAAGATTATTATAATATGCTTTGTTGTTTCTGCATGAATTGAACTAATGCAAAAAAAAAAAACACTAAAAATCTGCGTTTTACACATTTCTGATAAATACATATACGTCTTTATATTATAGTTGTTACATTTAGTTGCACATCAATATATTTAGAAGATTTTTTCGAATTTCGAGAATAAAATATTTCTATATAGTAACTCTAGTTAATTTTTAAATGCTTCTTTATATCAAAAAATAAACTACTGTACATTAAATTCTTCTTTACAATCAATAAGATCAGCAATACTCGTAGAATTCATGGCTATCAATTCGTATTATTTCTGCAAGGTAGTGAGAGCCCTACACGAGCTCTAAAAGCCGAATTGATGAAGACCTATATCAAGATAGGCATTTCTTTACCATGTATTTGTCAGTATATTTCAATAGACTTCTTTTCTATATAGATAATAGTAGAGTTCACTGATTTCGAATCATTCTTGCCATAAGTAAAATTGAAAACAACTAATAGATCTGTTTTTCTTTGTTAGAAATTTCAATAATCCATTTTTCAAGATTGTTCATATTTCAAAAATTAATAAAATCAAAAAGGTACAGAAGTCATAATAACAATATTTATAGGTTCATAAATATTAAATGTTTTTTCTCATGACTTTGAAGCTTCCGTTTGAGCTTTTCTTGCATTAACGATAGATTGTTTAGTTCACTACAGATTAACCTTTGACATACTTGAAAAACATAAACTTCCATGAGTAAATAATGTTTCTTCAATAATTTTTATAGTTATAAGTAAATATTTTTTTTTTAGTTGTTTTTTTTTATATTAACATTAGAATTCAACGTAATGATGACTTAATAGACAATTTTCTCTTGTCGAATGAATCGAGTAGTGTCCAGAAAAATATCTTGCTATAGATAAATATAAAATGAATTTGCTCTAGACATGAAAGTTAATCAATACTGTTGCTTTTCGTTTGAAAATAAGTTTAATATTTATTATTCAAATTGAAAAATAGACTTTCTATCTTTATATATTTTCGTTGATTTGAAATCAAGCAGTTCTTCTTAATATTTTACAAAAGAAAAACTAATTAAATTTGTTTTTTTTTTCCCTAATTTTAGAATGTGAATGTTTTTGGTATTAAAGGACCAAGACAGATGAGTGCTATGTTACCTGAACTCGGACATGATATTCAACCAACAAAAGTATAATAGAATAAATTCTCTTGTTAATTTTAATTCAATTATTTTATATTAATATTTAGCATGAAGATGGTATTCTTGATCAATGGCGTGATAGACATTTAAATTATTTAATTCAATTGCGAAATAGATCACCAAAATATAATGAAGGTAAAAAAAAAACGCTCTGCTTTTTTTTTTGTTGCCAAATTAAAGATTATTTATTTAGAAACAAAAAATTATGTTCTCCAATTTATGGGTAATCGTGTAGCACAACCATCAGTAAAAAATTTTCAAATGATTATTGAAAATGAAAATCGTATGTTGAATTTAATTATAAATTTAATATTATATATAATTTATATCTGAACTTTAGGTGAGGAAGAAATTATTATGCAATTTGGTCGTGTTGATAAAGAAACATTTACATGTGATTTTCGTTATCCACTTTCAGCTATTCAAGCATTTGCTATTGCTCTTAGTTCGTTTGATAGTCGAATTGTGCGAGAATAATTATTTTTGTGAATTATTTATAATGGCACTATTGATAAACGATAGCAAAAAAAAATATCGATAAATATAAATAAAAGTTCTTTTTCCTTTTCTTTTTTGAAAATGATTGTCATTAATAAAAAATAATAAAAAGACAAATAAATAAAAAAATAAAGATAGATTTTAAATAAATTGGATTCAATTTGATTGAAACAATAGATTAATTTTGTTTTTATTAGAATGGTTCATTGTTAGTTTATTATAATTTTAGAAAATATAAATTTTAATTCAATGTATTCTATTCAATTTGATTCAAACTTATCTGAAATAGGATTTTAATTTTGAATAAATTAATTCAAGCAGTAGATTTTCTTTTGCAAACAGCTCCCTCTTTCGGAAACAAAAAACCTATTCTTTCCAATTAGATAGAACAAGAAGAAACAACTCGATATAAACACGATGGATGGATATATCTCTGTGTGTGTGTGCGTGTGTCCGACCGTTTGTTTTGTTTTTATTGTTTGAATCATATCATTGTTTTATCGGTCCCGTATAGATATCATTGTATTATATCAATAGTGTAACTTGTTTTTCATTGAATTAGATATTTTTCTTTTCTATCATTTACTATATGAATATTTATGTTGACGAAATTAAACAAAAAAAACAATCGATATTTTATTTGAATAGACTCTTTCTTCAGATTAGTTTGTTAGTTCATTCTCAGACTTAAATCTTTCTAGATGGCCGCCGTTAATGTATATCATACAAGTGTAACAACAGACAATCTTAGTCGTAATGATATTCTACAATGGATAAATACAGCACTTGAAGCTAATTTTACTAAAATTGAAGATCTTTGTACTGGTAAGATTAGTAGTGTATTTTTTTCATAAATAAAAAACTTTAATATTATTTAGGTGCTGCTTATTGTCAATTTATGGAAATGATGTTTCCAGGTAAATTGATTAATTATATGAATGTACAAGTGCAGCAAAAATTATTCGTACGATTTCGATAATGGTAACATTTTTCATTATTCTTAGTTTCAAAAAATTTAACAAGTAGCATCTTTGTATTATTTGCTTCGCAATACAATTCTACTAGATTTTATCAAAATTTGTGAACCTTTGCTTTGAGATATTCTTACGAGGATATTGAAATTCATTTTTTTTGTTAAAATATTATTTCTACATGTACGATGATAAGAATAATACTACCAACGGCAAAAAACACAAGGTTTTCAGAAAATTTTTTCGTCTGTAGAGTTTATTGCGCTGATTATTTTGTTAGGAAAAAAAATACCCAAAAACTTCGATTATTCGTAACTGCTCCTGAGCGGTAATGATGTTTATAGAATAAATTTGAATATTTTTTGGATGAAAATGATCGACACACGAGCTTTACAGACGGAAATATCTTCGGAAAATCTTGTTTTTTTGCGATTCATGATTAGAAGTTTAAGCCGAGCAGCTGAGCCGGACCGTCGTTGCACAAAAATCACACTTAGATTTCGCATATGTTAGACATTCAGGATCAGTTTTGTATGAATGTTCTTACTAAAAAAAAAGCGAAAAAAACCTGCTTTTTGTGATTTAGAATTGATTAAAATAAAATGAAATCTTTCTTTAAATCTGATAACCAATTTTTAATCGGCTCAATCAAGAAATGATTGATTTTAACTTATTTTATCAGGATTGTTATTGTAAAAGTATTGTTTGGTATAGTAGCTCTTCATATGATATATGTGTCAAAGAGTTCTAGCGTTGTATTTACCATTTGCTGAGTTGAGAAGTCTAAGAAACTATTCAAAAATTTGAGTTTCTAAATAAAATCTCTCGAAAACAAGAAAACAAAGGATCATGGAAAACCTTGAGTCACCACCGACGCCAATCAACTCATTGGCTTACATCTCTACTTGTAGTCAACTAGTTTTCATAATGTAACATCCAATTTAGAGATGAAACCGGTCATTACGATGTATTTTATTTATTTATTTTTTGTTCCTATTCTTTCATAGAAGATGTGTGATGAAACTTTATTGAAAGTTGACTACGTCAAATATCATTACAGATCGGTTCAATCTCTAGTTGAATTAAATTCGAAGTCTATATATTGCGAAGAAAATAGTACGAACGTGTCACTTGTTCTTTTATGCATCTAATGACTTTATAATTCAATTAACAATAATGAAAAATGTTATCGTACGGATTATTTTTGTCACACTTGTATATAGTTGTGATTAATATATATATTAACAATTAGTTAATATTTTGAATTTCTAGGTGCCATAGGTACACGATCAAAACGGGTTAAATGGAATACAAAACTTGAGCATGAATATATTAATAATTTTAAAGTACTACAAGAATATTTTAAAGCACTTGCAGTAGACAAGGTAGTATTTTATTTTCTAGGTTCATTAACAATAAAAATGTTTGTTTTTTCATGTATTCTAAGTTGATAAGATTATTCCATAGAAATAAAACAAAGAGAGATTATTTATATTTATCTGATTTTTCTCTATAATAGATTGTACCTGTTGAAAAATTAGTCAAAGGAAAATTTCAAGATAATTTTGAATTTGTTCAATGGTTTAAAAAATTCTTTGATGCTAATTATACTGCTGCACATGATTATGATCCTGTAGCTGCTCGAGATGGACAGTAAGTTCAAATAATATTTCAATAATTGTTTTTTCAAGTATACTGAATTGTATTTTTTTTAAAGACCATTAGGTAATGGCAAAACAAGTGGTGCTGGCTCAGGTATTCGTGCACCACCTGCTTCTCGACCACCACCACCACCACCAGCACCAGTACGGTCTGTTCCACCAGTAACAAGACCACCAGTTACCAGTAAGTTTCATTCAATAAACACCATACTGCATCGATAAGTACACAGGGATTTGGAACAATACAATTGCTGCAAAAATCTACGACAGAAATTTTAACGAAAAATCAGATTTTTTGTTTTAAGTGAAAAATCTTCCTTGAAAAAGAAATAGAGTTGAGACCGAACGGTCTGACAGAAGTTTATGCCTACCAGTGTTTAGTGACGAAGCCTGCTCGATCCGGAAGGAAAATCGTTCTGAATCGAGCGGCCCTGGTAGATATTTGGTTTGAATTAGAAAGATGTTTTGATCGTAATGATTTGTCGTTTCTCTTTTTTTTTCCACTTGAATATGATTTTCACTTAGTCAAAAACAAATTATATGAATTCAAACATTTAAATTTCTTATAGCTAAATCAATGCAACAACATCAACAAAAAATTTCTCCATCAACTCATCGTCCTGTCGGAGTTGGACATCATGTTGATCCTCATCATGTATTACACAGTAATGAAAATATTCGATTACAACATGAAGTAAATATTTTTATTAAATTTTATTGAAAAAGAAAAAAGAAATCTTATTATATTGATTAGATTGATGCATTACAAGAAATAGTTCAACAACATGCAGTACAAATAGCTGGTCTTGAAAAAGAACGAGATTTTTATTATCAAAAATTACGTGATGTAGAAGTTATCTGTCAAGAACCAGAATGTGAAACATTATCACCAATACAAAAAGTTCTTGAAATACTTTATGCTACAGAAGTACGTAGAAACATTTTATTAAAGGCTCATTTTATTAGAAATAAAAAGCATCGATATGTTTTTAAAGGAGGGTTTTGAGATACCCAATGACATTGAAGAACAATAAAACGTCGAACAAGAATTTTAATGAGGGGAGGGTGTGTGTGTGTGTTTGCATTAGTCAGCTTTTCCCTTGTGTATTACCCTTACTGCTTATATTTGTGTGTCGTTTATTTTTGTTTATAGATGATAATTTATGTGTTCTTTTGTTTTTTTCAATTTAAGGAGGGTTTTGCGCAACCTGATCAAGAAAATGGAGCTGGTGAGTTATATGAAGCACATGGTTTAACTGTTGATAATAATGGTAATGGTTCTGCTCTTGTTGGTGGCGATGACGATACATATTAGAAAACTTTTATACACCTTTTCTTTTTTCTGTTCTTGATGATCAATGCTCATTTCTATCTTCTATGGTGTAACTAAGTTCTTTTTTTTTTCTATAAATAGACATGTGTGTTATCTTTATTCGATCTTTGTATCATGATGTATGTGTGTGGGTGTCTGTCTGTATGCAACTCTATACAAAAAAAAGACAATAAAAAAATATGTTTATTAACCTTGATTATCTACGGAAATTGAGGAAAATATATATGAAATCAGACAGTATACTTATTATAATACAAAGTGCTCCAAAAGTCATCTACTACTAAGAAGAAATGAATTTGAATATATCCACTATTCAATAATCGAATCAACTTATTTTTGTTTTCTAATAATTAGGAAACTGCGGATCCAAGGCCACAAAAAACACGAACCTGCAGCTCCCTACCGATGATTGAGGAAAAATTCAAAGCCACCTATTTTGACTGAAATTGTGAAGCTTTACATAATTTACTCGAAATCGATGAGAAGGCGTTGGATTTTGAAAAGTTCATATTAAGAAAATTCTACATCCAAACATGTTGAAATTTTCTACACACGCTAGTCTATGTGGATTAAGTTTCCGGCTTTAAAAGTATGGAATTCTATTCAAGGCACCAGTGGAGTTAGACTTCTATGAATTTCCAAATCCTAATAGATTTTTTTATTGGACTTGTTTTTTTACTCGTTCAAATTATGTTCGATTAGAATTTACCAAAATTTGCTTTTTGTTCCAGTACCCTCTCTCCTTCCGAGGTTTTTGAAGAATAGCTCATCAGAAAATTTTGATATTTACCAAACGGCTAGATCTTAACAAGTAGAGCAAAAGTTGTCATTGGCTCAAAATTCTCGGATGCTGTCTTCTATCAGATACTGGAATCACTATGACGAAAAATGATCTCAATTTTCGTTCCCCCAGTTTCTTGTAGTGTCATGTTCGATCGAGCTGAAAATGTTTTGTTTGCAAACATTGGATACTGTGGTTTGGTATTGTTTCATCGACACATTTGATTCAATAGTATTCTATGAAGAAAAATTAAATACAACTTTGTATTAGAGAAAGTTATTGTAATCATAGGACAGAGAACATAATTCAATAGTTCATAAGATAATGGCAATAAAATATTATTGTAATGTTTTACTAATCGTATAAAAAAAATATTCATCTAATGAGAAAGAATCTTTTTTTTTCATATCGTTTCATTAAATTAAGAATTCATTGATCTTGAAAAATAATTTTTTTTTTTTATTTCGTCAATTCTTGTTCATATTGTTTTATCGTAGTCATGTTAAATGCATAATCTTTCTTTAATTGAGCAATCAATACATATATATTTGTATTATGTCGATAGTGCCAACTATCGAATCTGGATGTAGGAGTAAAGAAGCCTAATACCTACATCCATAATCGGTAATCGAAAGTCGTTTTCTGGACGTTGACTGATGGTAACATTCGTTTTAAAAATTTCAGATAGTGTCATTACTGTTTAATTTATTTCTTTTTCTCTAGATCAAGATTTTTTCAGTAAATTATGGAAATTATTCAGAAGACAAAAAAAATTATATCGTTGAAACGGGAAGATACCCTTGATGTTACTATTTGATTTTATTTCATTTGTATGATTTCTAATTGTTCACATAGTTTCAATTAACTTTTGTCAATGCTTCTTGTATGAGTAAGAGTATTTTTGTACTTAACATTTGAATTCGAATTTAAATCTTTCATAAGCAAAAAAAAACTAAAAAGATAAGTTCAAAGTTATAGTAAAAACATGATTTTCATCGATTTGTTTCTTTTTGTATTTACATATGGTTAATAATTCTCAATTATTTCTTTACTAAGTGAAGTATGTCTTGAATTAAATTTCAAGAAAAATAATCTTAAAAATTTCAATCACTCTTGTTCAATAACACTTGTAATGTTATTTTTTTAAAAATGTTGTAAAGTGATAAAACTTCAATCAACAAGCTTTTTAATATTGTCCAAAAAAAGAAAAACAGAGAACTTTTTTATTTTGTTTTTACAAGAATTCATATTAAGAATAAAAATTTTTATTCTTTGATAAATGCTTCATATTTTGTTTTGTAATAAAAAAAACCAAAAACTAAGACAATTTCTTTTTACAATTCATCATGCAATTGATGTTGTTGTGATCGTGGTATTGTATATCGAATTGTTCGATAATTAAATCGTTTTGTATTTCCTCCAATTTCATTTGAAGATGTTGGTGGTCGTATTTGTGAACCTGAACGCATTAAATTCAATTTCAAAGCCAATCCAAATCGACTACTTAAACTTGTACGATCACTCCAACATGCACTACTTTTTCGACTATGTGTTACTGATAAATTATCATCTATATATGGTATAGGTTCATCATCATGTAGATGTTGTTTAATAGCTGTTTCAATAGCGCTACTAAAATATGATGTACGAGGTGATGAATATAGAAAATAGGATGGTGGTGGCAAATTAGCTATAACAGTTGAATTTGATGTTTGAAAACTATCTGTTTCATTATAATATGACGAAGAATTTGTTTGCTCTTCGTCAACATCTAATCTCATAGGAGATGAAATTAAAAGTCTAGCAAAGAAAAAAAAACAAGCGAATTTCTAAATATGAAAAAAAAAGATAAATTCTTTTTTTTATATACCGATCTCCATCTGGTGTTGTACGTTGTTGAGATTTGTTTATTTGAATATTTTCATCAATATTATTTGTTTTAACCGTTCGTTTAGTTAAAATAGTAATTAACATAAGAATAACAACAACAAGAACAAGTAAAGCAAGAAGACAAACACCATATAACCATATCGGATCTAATAGAGTTTGTTCAAAAAACGTTGATGGTATATTAATCTAAAAAGAAATCAATACATCGTTTTTTCTCATCTTCATTTTAATCAATCATACACGATGTTTTATATCTTGATAAATTTGTTGCTGATGGCGTTTTAGTGCAAGTAAAAATTGATCATTAGTCAATGCAATGTCTTGACGATAAGGATCTTTAATAAATACAGCTACATATAAACGCCGATCGTCCAACTGTTCTTCGTAACTTTGTATAATAACATGGTCCGCTCTAATAGTTAAAACAATTGAAGTATAATTAAATAAGTCAATAATAATAAAAAAAACCTATATTTATCTAAATATATACCTGACAGCATCTGTATCATTACTTAAACAACTATTACGACTTATTGAACAAAATTTTCGTATAATTTTTGCGAGACTTTGACGTAA